CTTTTTCTGTCTACACCATTCACACATCTTTCTCTAAACATGCAAACAAACCTGAATTTGTAGCATGTTAGAGCTGGAAGAGGAAACTGAGGCCCAGAGAGGAGATTGGTGACTAATCTTACAGCAAATTCATACTTCCGGATTCAGTAATCCCATGCTCTTTGCACCAAGCTAGGCCTATGACTGGGCAATTCCCCCCAAACACACACACACACACACACACACACACACACACACACACACACACACACACACACACACACATCTTTCCATTGGGGCACAGTCCTGGCCTTTGGACAATGCTGTTTCCCCTCTGCCCCGCCCCCAAAGCCAGGAATAAGACTTCCCACACACTGCAAGTGAAAGATCAAAGATTCAGTTCTGGAAAAGAGAGATGCCCCCACCTCTAAAACCAGAGCTAGGAAGAAAAGCCATTCTCTCCATCTTTCCACCCTCTTCCCTTTGCCCCTCCCATCTCCTCCTTAGCCTCAGATTCAGCTCCCAGAAACTCTTCTTTCTTTTCCAGTAGGTACTGAAATGCTTTTTTACATGCCAAGGTAAGCTAGGACCTAGGCCTTTGGAACTTGTTAATTATCCTCTCTGAGTCTCAGTTTCCCTCTGTGTAAAAGGAAGGGGCCCGATTAGTAGGGGCCTTCAAGAAGCTTTGGTGGTGGTGGCTGCTGGTTTAATTAAACTGAACAGACAGCCTCGAAGATCCCTCCTAGCTCTGATATGATGATTCCCCAATAATCCCATGCCTGCCCCAATCGATTTCTACATTAAGCTTTGGGTGAATTTTAAGTCTCTCTATGAAGTGATTTTGAAGAGACCCTTCAGCACAGGGGGATAAACAGGTCCAGATGAGGCTAATCAGATCCCCAGACACTTGGCAGTAGTTTGAGAGGCTGGCTTGCTGAGAGGCAGTGGGATGTTGTGGGAAGACCCGTTGGATTGATCTTGAGGACCGAAGTTGGGGTGCTAATTGTGCCACTTCATAGCCGTGTGGCCTTGCACTCCCTGGGCCTCTGTTTCCTGCCTTTAGAATAAAGGGGTCTTTAACATGAGAAAGTGCACCAGAGGACCACCAAGCTTTCTTCCAGTTACTTTTACCCCCCTCCAAACCCTCAAAGGCAGGTCCCACCATAAGGCACAGATTCACAGCTCCCCAGGACCTCCCACACTTCTTCTCGGGGCCATTCTTCTCCTCTCCTCCCTTTTGATTCAGCTGCTCCTCCCCCAAGCCAAGTGCTCCCTCCTCCACCCCTTCAGCCACCCCCACTGCATCCGAATGGCACAGACAATCCTTCCAAAAAAGGAGACAAGAAATTAAGAGATTTAAAGGTACTGATTACCTGGGGTAGGACAGCAGCCACCATCAGTGAGACCAAAGTGAGAGTCAGCACCTCTCCAGAGGCAGCCGAGGTGATCACTGCCAGATGAAGCCCCTGAACTCCTTACTCCCCACACCTCACCCCACCCCAAGGGCCTCCACCCCAGGGCTAAGGAGGTTCAAGGCTCTGCTGGTCATGGAAAATCCATCTGACTTCCTCTTGTGTCATGGAAAGTCTCAGAGACAGGAGGGCAGGAAATGCCCAGGAGGGACATGGGGTCTGATGAGGCCCCACTGCTGATTTGGGGAGGGAGTAGGGAGCCAGGCCAGAGGTGACAGAGAGGGAGGGGGGATGGTGTGTGTAGAAAGCTTGCTGATGTGGAGACATCTGACATCCCACCTTCCCAGTCTTGTCTCTGCTGCTAACCATCTTGGCTGGGGCAAGTCCCTTCCCTTTCCTGGGCCTCAGTTTCCTGCTGTGTAAAATGAGAGGTTGCCCTAGATGCCTCCCAAATCCCCCTCTCAGTCTAAATCCTATGTACTTGATCCTATGAAGTGGAGGAAAAGGAGAATACAGAAAGAAAGGAAGGGAGGAAAGAGAGGAAAGGAAGAGGGATGGAAGGTGAAGATGGAGAAAGAGAAGCTGGAAAAGCTAAAGAAAGGAGGAGACTTGGGGGATGGGGAATGATGAGGTACACCAGCTGTGTGTCCTTGAACAAGTCCTTTCCCCATTCTGGCCTCAATGGTCTTTTCTGTAAAATGAGGGGACCAGACACCAGCTATAATCTTTTCAACTATAGTACAGGCAATTTCTGTGGTAAAATAAATAAATGAACATATAGACAGACAGACAGACAGACAGACAGACAGACAGATAGATAGATAGATAGATAGATAGATAGATAGATAGATAGATAGAATCCTCCACTACCTTAAGCTATGGCCTCTCTCTCCCGATTATGAGTTGGGAAAGGAGGCAGATGAGGATAAAGACTGACCAGGGAGAGAGAGTCATTCCCTGGACCGGGGGTGGGGAACCTGTGGCCTTGAGGCCACAAGTGGCCCTCTAGGTCCTCAAGCGTGGCCCTTTGACTGAATCCAAACTTCACAGAACAAATCCCCTTAATAAAAGGATTTGTTCTGTAAAGCTTGTATCATTTAGAGGCCTGTGGAGGACCATGTCCCTCAAAGCTGCCCTCCAACCTCTCCCTAGCTTCACCTGTGACCTGAAGGAGTCCTCTCTGGCTTTATTAGAGTCACTCTGAACACAGAACAGGGGATATCAGAGCTGGAAGGGACCTAGAACCTAGAATGTTGGAATATAAGCTCCTGTTAGAAGCTCCTGGAGGGCAAACTCTGTTTCATTTTTTATTTCTATATTACCTTTATATTGGAAAAGTGGTTGGCAGATAGTGAAATAATGATGATGATGATGGTGATGGTGATGATGATGGTGATGGTGATGGTGATGATGATGATGATGGTGATGGTGATGATGATGGTGATGGTGATGGTGATGATGGTGGTGATGCTAGACAGTACTTACATAGCACTTCAAGGTTTGTGAAGTACTTTATACATTTTAATTCATTTGATCACAACAACCCTGTGAGGTAGATGCTATTTTACAGACAAAGAAACTAAGGCACAGTTTCCCAGGATTCCACAACTAGTGAGCATCTGAGGCAGAATTCCTGACTCCAAGTTCTGAGCTCTATGCACAGTACCATCTAATCACTTTAATCAATGCTCATTGATTAGATGTCAGGAACAGCCTTTAGAACACAGAATACAGGATGTCAGAGCCAGAAAGGTAGTTAGAACATAGAACATGGAGTGTTAAAGCTGAAACTATCCTTAGAATATCAGAATCAGAAGGAACTTTAGAGGCTATGTAACCTAGTTTTCCCCTTCTTCTAGAGACGGTTTCATGGTACTGTAGGAAGGGCACTGTTGAGTGTGGGCACCTGGGTTCCCCTCTTGGCAATGAAATTTATTAGCAGCATGACTTTGATAGCATAATTTCCCCCCTCTAAGCCTCATTTTACTCACCTGTAAAATGGGGATGTTAACCCCAGGGAGCTATTGTGAGTAAACCCCTTAGAGAGTTAGAGTAATTAGAGTTAATCTATGCCCAGAAAATGCCTTGTCTCCCCTGCAGCACCCCCGACAAGCTCAGGACGGGCATCTGAGTCTTCTCAGCAGGAGCCTGTTAACTTGAATTTCCTTCCAGGCTCCGATACATATTAGCTGGGTGACACTGGTGGCCCTCTATTGCCTGCGGGATCAAGTACAAAATCCTTTCTTTGGCATTTAAAGCCTTTCACCTCCTGGCTCCTTCCTGCCCTTCCAGGCTTCTGACACTGATGCCCCTCCAGGGCACACCTTATCAGTCCTCGAGGGTTCAGCTGCACTGGCTTTCCTGCTGTGGCTCCTATGTGCCTTTTCATCGGCTGCCTCCTGGGCCTGGAATGCTCTCCATCCTTATTTCTGCCCCTTAGGCTCCCCAGCTCCCTTCAAGACAATTCTAATCCCACCTTCTGCAAAAAACTTTCTTGCCCCCGTGCCACCCCCCTCCCCCCCCGCCAGTGCCTTCCCTCAGAGACTGCCTTCCATTATACTGCACTACATGCTGTATGTATGAAGTCGTCTCCCTATTAGAATGTAAGCTCCCTGAGGACAGGTCCTGGTTTTTTTCCTTTTCTTTGTGCTTAGCACAGTGCCTCACACATTATTACTTAATAAATGACTGTGGAAAGACTGACAATCATCTCATTTTACAAAGAAGGAAACTGAGGCCCAGAAAAGTTATGTTTCTTGCCCAGGGGCCCAAGTGTCAGAGGCATGAATTTGAATTCAGATCCTTTGACCCTAAATGGAGATCTCTTTCCCATTGGTGCCTCCCTCTACTAGGCTGGGGGCCCCAGCCCCTGTCCTGGGCGCCAACCAGGACTCCTCCCTCCCCAGCCCTGCAGAAGCCTGAGACCCTGCCTCTTCTGCACTGAGAACAAGGGGATTGTTTCCTGTTTCCCCTGAAGAGCAGAAAGCCTCAAACGCCAGCCACACGGGGGAGATAAGAAGTAAACACAGACAGAGAGAAACATGTGTGATGCCACACAGTGGCAAACACATCGTGTCACATCACCCATGCTGATGGAAACAGCGCACTCTTTATACTCATGGTGACCCTCAAACCCTCCCTAGGTGTTCTGGCAATTGGCTGGGGCCCCACCTGCGGGGAGCAGGTCTGCCTGACCCCCAGAAAGTCACCCCAAGGTGAAGATGGGAGGACGCAGATGAAGCCGTGTCCTCAGAGCCGTGAAAACTAGGAGAGCCCCAAAATGGGTGAGACCCCAGGACCTCGGCTAGAATGTTCCAAGTCCCTAGTCCCCCAAACACACGACCACTCCTCTGGGGTCTGGGCCCCGGCCAGACTCAAGCCTCCCTGAGCTGACATTGGTCTAGGGGACCCCAGCTCCTCTGCCCCACTGCTCCCATCCCGGAACGGGGCCTGAGCAAGGTCAAAGGTGGCATTCACCCCCAGCTCAGAGAAAAGGGGAGCAGGCAGGCAGCCCCCAGGAACTGCCGCCAGGAAAGGAAGCCAGCACAGAGCATGCTGGTCTCCTCTATCACCCAGTGCCGGGGAGGAGGGTGGTTTAGTTTGGAGGAAGTTGGCAGTTCAGTCTTCAAATACCAGTGACGCAGAGCCCCACGACACCGCCCCCCCCCCAGCCTCCTCCTTCTCCCTGGGGAACAGAACCACCAAGGAGCAGACACCTTGCCCACCAGGTCCCCACAGGTGGGAGAAGCATTCTGTCCATGGGGCTCTGTTGGTCACCGCTGACTTTATTATGCCTTCTAGCGACACTGGGTGAGTCTTCCTTTTGGGGGAACTTCTGAGACCATGGGATACCCTGGGGAGACACGGCAGGGTTAGAAAGAGGCAGACCAGTAGGTGTGGCTTGGCCCCAGGGTTCTGGGCTTTGGGCTCCTGGCTGGGCACTTCTAGGCTATCCCTCTTTGGGGGAACTTTGGGCCGGTGAATGTGGGGGTCAGGCGGGGGCATGTTCCAATGAATGGGGGCAAATCCCAGCTGTACTCCTTACTATCTTATTTGTGTGACTGAGGGCAAGTCACGTCGTCTTTGAGAGGGCCTCAGTTTCCCCATCTGTCAGATGAAGGGGCTACACTCTAAACCCGATCACAGTTCTTAATCCTATGAAAAGGGATGAAGCAGAGAGCAGGGAAATGGAGTCAGAGGTCAGCTCTGTCATTAACTGCCTCTATAGCTTGGGCAAGTCATTCATCTCTGGAGGCCTCGGTTTCTCCAGGGGCTTGGGCCCACTGGTTCCCTCCAGGTCTAAGTCTCTAATTATATCATCCAGCTTGGATATGCTCCCCACCTCCTCTCCTGCCCCAGCCCCACCCTAATTTCTACCCTAAAATCGGCATGTCCCATCCCTAATGGCTGCCCCTGTGTAAGCCTTCCTTCCTATGATTCCCTTTAGCCACTTGCTTTCTGTCTGTCCTCTTGGGGAGAAAGGAGATGCCTTCAGTCACACCTGCTCATCCCCATTCTCCAGGTCATGGAGATGCCCAACTTCATTGCAGATGGATGGAGGCTGGGGGTGGAGGAAGTTGCTCATGACGGATGCTCAGGCTGCAAAGAGCTGTACTTGCCAGAGGCAGCTCTCCAGCTAGGGCTGAGTCTGGGGGGCATTTCTGGGAATCTCAAGCCAGACCACCAAGCAGAGTTTCCCAGGACTTGGGAAAATGTGGAGCACGCAGTAGGGGAGGCAGCACACAGTAGGAGGGGAAAGCATGGAACCAGTGCTGAGATTAAAGTCAGAGGACCCAGTCAGCTCTACCACTCACTGCCTGTACGAGATGGGGCAGATGCTTTCTTCTCGGGGTCTCGTCTATGAAAGGACGGGCTTGAACAAGATGGCTTCTAAGGTCCCTTCCAGCTGTAGGATCTACTGTGGTCCTGGGATTCCTGCAGACCCCCTGGCAAACACCACACTACCCCCGGGGGGAAGCAGACCTAGATCTGGGAAGGAGGAGGTGACCAGGGTCTAGCCTAGGTCAGGGTCACCTACGGAGAGCTCAGAGCAATCAACCCCAAATATCCTCCTGAACTTGACTTCACACGAGGAAGGTTGAAATAGTGTCTGGCTGGGACTGAGATTCTGAAGGTGCAGACTTCTGTCTCTGGACAAACACACACACACACACACACACACACACACACACAAAGCCCTCCTCCTCTCCTGAACAAAATGACTGCAGGCCCTGAATGACAGATCTGGGAAGGGAGGCCTACTTAATCCTAGGACACAGCATGTACAGGGAGATGGAAAAGCTGGGTTCTAATCCTGGCCCTATAACTAATTAGTTCTGTGACCTTGGACAAGTCACTGCCTCTCTCTAGGCCTCAGGTTCTTGTATTGTAAAGTGAAGAGATTAGACTAGATGGTCACTAACTAGATGTTCTTTCTGGTCCTAAAGGCTGATGCCTGGTCCAGCAGCCTGGGACCTCAAGTCCTCGCTGGCATATTCTTTCCTGGGCTCTGATTCAGATGGGATCCCTTAGGGTGAATCGGAGACCCCTGAACTGCCCCAGAAGCAGCCCTGCTCTTCAGAAAGGGGGTAGGGGTGGTCCTTGAATGATGACTCATGTAACTTTGGGTGGGTTGTCATGCAGCCTTCCTAATGTGAGTGCCTTTGGCTGATGGAGAAAGGGGGCGAGGGTAGGGAAGGGAACACAAACTGGCTTTGGGACCATTGGCAGGACCCTTTGAAACCATGATTCCTAGATCCAAAAAGAGCCAAGGATGGAGGTTGTGTGTGTGTGAGAGAGTGTGTGTGTGGGGGGGGAGAGAGAGAGAAAGAGAGAGGGAGAGAGAGAGGAGAGACAGACAGACAGAGACAGAGAGAGAGGAGAGAGAGAGAGAGAAAGATAGACAGACAGAGACAGAGAGAGGGGAGAGAGAGGGAGAGAGACAGAGAGAAAGAGAGAGAGAGACGGAGAGACAGAGAAGCGTTGGCTGGGTAGGGGTGACAGGAAGCTACTCAGGTTCATAGGAAAATCTCCATCCAGGTCATGGAAAAAAAAAGAGTCCCGCCAGCTGGGGAAAGTCTTGAAGGGGGTAACCAAGCAAGAGAGAGAGAAGCAGAGAGGATGCTGTGCCTCCAGGGCCTGAGGCAGCCCTGCAAAGGCCGTGAGATGAAAGGGACGAGGGCTAGGTCTTGGCAGGTCTAATAATTTCAGCCCACTCCAACAGCCAGGCCAAAAAGCAAAAGATGCTGTCTAGGGTGAATGAGTGAATGAATGCACATTCTGTTCCACCCAGTAAGAATGATTTAAACAGTTACTATGGGCAAGGCATAGTCCAAGGCGCATGTGGGTTACAAGGAGAGAAATGAGCCCTCAAGGGGCTTACATTCTACTGATTGCAGATGCCTAAATACCTATACGAGGTCATTTGTGTGTGTGGGGGGGCAATTGTCTTCTATTCTGAGACTCTCCTGTTGGCCAAACACAGCGCCAGATTCACTCTTGCTGGGGACGGAGGAAACCGTGTGACACACCCTGGTGATCAATCTGGGCGGACGGTGGAAGCGGCAGGCTGGGCCTCTGGGTGGTGGGAAAGATCATGACCTCCTCCATTTCTCTGATTCATATTCTCTTGCCTATAGCCCTCAGGGTGGGCAAGGCTGCTGAAGATGGGGGGAGATGCAGTTAGACCCGAGGGAGGACTCGAATTTAGGGCTTTTTCCATTTCTTTGGGCTGGTCCTCATACAAGAAGTTGAATTTTGAACGTGAAGATCCTCCCCCTCAATTTATAGAGGCAGTCTGATCTAGCGGAAAGAGCACCAGATTTAGGGTCATAAGACCTGGGTTCAAATTTTTATTTTGCCGCTCTCTTCCTGTTTACCCAACAGTCTAATAAAGGCACTGAACTAGACTCCCGCTAAGGCCTTATCCAACCCCAGAACCTCGGGCTCCCAAGTCCTGTGCTCCGTCCACTTGGCTACCCTGCCTCTGATAAACAAGGGGGTTGGGTAACATGATTGCCAAGGCTCAGCCAACTCCAAATTAAGTCCAGAGAAATGGGAATGGACACAAACCCAAGTCCTCCCTGAAGCCTAGCTCCATTCATGCCCAGCTCCACTTGGGTTGTGTTATGTTTGTCCTTCGTTCCCGAAGAGGACCATGACATCAGGGAGATGATGACATGACTTGCTGCTGACTTTGAATTGAGTGAGGGAGGGCTGGGTAAGGTCACCAGCCTCACTTTCTCCTCCAGAGCCATCTGGGTCCAGTGGCCAGATAGAGGTCAGGACAATTGGAAGCGGTGCAGGATGCAATGGAAGACCCTGACCCTTTAAGCTAAGGTCTTTCCAGGTTCTCACTTTGAGTGGCAACACCCATTCAGTGAATAGGCCTATTTAAGAAGGGAGTCAAGGGCCATTAGATGCTCAGCCAGAGGCATAAGAGAGGGAACATGGGCCAGAGGGAAGATTGATGCTGTGCTCTCTCAAACCAGCCAGAAGCCCACACAACACCAGATCCTGTAGACTGATCGGTGAGGCAGGCTGTGAGCTTATCTCTCCTGACCTCAGGATCTTAAAGACTGATGCTGATGTAACCCTTTAGAGTTAACAAGATGACATATATTTATCTCGTCTGAGCCTCAGCTACCTCATGAGGTAAGGACCTGGGCCTTATACCTATTTAACAGATGAGAAAACTGAGGCTTGGGGAGGTTAGTCATTGTCCATGGGTGCACAGTAGGTAAGCATTGGAGGTGAGATTTGAACCCAGGTCTTTTTTGACTCTAAATTCAGCCATCTCATCACTATCATAGCCTGAAGCCTTGTAGCATCTGCCAAGTTTAGAACAAAGGAGGCAGGGAGGAAATGAATCGACTCTAAAAGACACAGTGGGAGGCCCTGGGATGTCAGGAGCTCATGTCATTTCCTTGGCCTTAGTGAAGAGACACCAAGCCCTCTCCCACCCCTAGGGAGTCAATCTCCTGCCCTGGGCTAAGAGGACGGTCCAGCGGCTTGAGAAGTTTCCAGGGGGTCAACAGTGGCCTGAGCCCTCGGCCTCTGCCTGGTAACCCCACACCATGGACGTCCATGGGTGGGACCAGCCAGGACAGTGCCTTGTGCCCACAGAATGGGAGGGGGGAATCAATCAGGCCCCCAAGATCCGAGGATACACTGGGCCAGTCAAACCAGAAGCAACGGAGGATTTGGGGGAGGGGGCACCAGACCTGTGATTTCACTGGCATAGGGAACTCCCAGAGTGTAACTTTCCCTTCCTGATGCACATCAGCACCTGCTCAGTAACTCAGTAAAAGTCTTGGAGAATCGATGGTTTGTGACTTGTCCAAGGTCATACAGCAAGTGAGTTACAGAGGCTCTGTGAGAGGCAGGAAGCCCTGGGTTCAAGGCCTGTCTCTCCCACATACTGGCTGTGTGACCCTGGGGAAGTCACTGACCCTCTCCACTGCCCCGAAGCCCTCTGAGACTCCAAATTGCTGAGAAGGTGTCAAAATTCAAAATTGTTCCAACTACCCAACCAGCCCTACCCCCAGGGATGGATGGAGTGGGAGTTAGGGAGTAGAATGGACTTCTACCCTCACCTCGCCCCATCAAGCCCCACCTCCTCAGTCAGTCTATGCACGCTTCCCCATCAACAAAGTCCTCTCCTGTAACAAAAAGGGGACAAGGAAGCAAAACAAACAGGCACACTGACCGTGTCTGAAGGCATGTGCCCCATTCTGCACCTGTAGTCCACCACCTCTGTCTGCTTCATCAGCCTCTTGGAGGCAAGACTGGACGTGGCATTCGTTTGAGGC